ACAGGGACCTTCCGGTTTCCAGATCTATAGGGGAACCGACTAATCCGGAATCGAGTCGGGTAGGACCACAAGAGTAATAACTATCACTTTGCTCAATTGTAAGCCCCTCCGCCACATTAATCTCTTATAAAAATTTACCGAATTTGTTTGAAAAAAAAAAAGAAAGAAAAACAAGGTTAAAAAAGGTATACATTTCAGTCATCACTTCCAACTCTCAGTTTTGCAGACAAACAACAAAGACAGTTTTTAACCTTTCATATTCAATCTTGCATATATTATCTCATTGATCTTATTCAAGCATCCAAACCCATGAAATGCACTACAGTAATAATAAACTGAAAAACACACGTATGAAGAACTAAGGGAAAGACATAATAAATAGTTGGTTGAGGAGAATGAAAGTTGAGGCCAAGTAGCCTTGAATGATATCTAGTTGAGGTCTTTAGTCCGAAGAACAGCACACTCGAGGAAAGTTGGAAAATCCACGTACTCGAGGCACACCTGACATTGTATTTTCTGTTTCGCCCAATGTGCTAGGCAGGAATGATGATAGGCATGAGAGCACGGCAAGAAAAATATGTAGTCTTGAAAACGAAGCTTGCCCGAACAAGTACCGCAGTTCGTTCGGTGACTGTCGTTTTTTAATTGTATCAGAAACTTGTAAGGCGGGGGAGTGGAGAGAAGCTTAATGAGCTTATCCTCAAGCTCCACACGCGAAGTGTCGGGCCTTATGGCCCGCCTTCTTGCATCATCAATGGTCTCGTTTTCCAGTTGCTTTGTGTAGAGTCTGATATGCATAGCGATGGGGTAAACTCTAAGGTTAGACCCAGTCATATCATACGCCTTGGTTCTAAGCTTGGTGACGAAATCTTTGGTGTCTTCCATCCATTTATGAATAACAGCTTCATCATTGACTCCGTGACAGGCGAGGAATTTGAAAAGAAAGGTTTCCGGGTGGTGAATGTCGTACTCGAGCCCACTCCTCATTGATTCGGACATGAGGGACGAGATTGAACAAAACCATTATATCCATATTTCCCTCTAATTAGGACCAAAGACTGCTTTTCATTCAACGATCGGCTCAAAAAGGTATGTAGAAAAGAAGAGTTCAATTCGTATTTAGAAAGAAAAAAAAGGTATAAGTACTATTTGTCTTCACAGGCTCGTCTCCTGAATATGCACTCGTTCTTTCTGCACGGCTTCATTGTTCGCCATGGGAGATGATTTCCTTGAAGCCTGAGCCACGGAATTGGTAGCTAAGAAGGCCACAAATATAAAAATAATATTAAATGATCTTAATAAACATAGAAAATAATGTAAAAATGTTTAAGGTAATTACATGGGGATTAATATCAAGACTCACTTGAAAAAGGGTCAGTGTTGTTTAGGTGCTTTATGGTCTCCCTGTAGATGTGAATTTTACCTCATCTTTCCGGCTATCTAGTAAAAAACGTTAATTACGGCACCTAGAAAACAAAAAGGGAATCACGTAAGGCTACTAAATAGATAAATACTAGCACTGTCTTTTAAGCCTATTCTCCTAAGATCTCAATCTTATTCAATACAACAAAGAAACACCCTAGAGGTTTTTCCAGAAGCTCACCTTCGACAATATATGTAAAATTGTGCTCGAACACGACCCGCGCAGCTCGTGCGTCGAGATACCGCGCGTCAAGTGTGGAAAGGCCTTCAACAACGATATTGAGACGCTGTTATACCCGCACCTGCTGCCCGAGGGCGCTTGGGAGAGGCACTACTGCAGTTTGAGAAAGACATTTATAGTAATAAATAATATGAAATACAATTTGCAATCATCACCTCAGAAAACATAGCTACAAATTGATAGGCAAGGAAAATAGATTATTCATAATTGTAGGTTACTCTATCAACATGTGAAGTATGAGTTGGCTTCCATGATCAGATAACAAATTTTGACAGCAATTAGTAATTCCAACACATCCTAAGTGGACTAATAGATCACTGGATAAAAACTGATTCTGAGAACTGAAATAAGTGCTGAAAATTTCAAAAGTAATTTATGAACGAACCTTAATCCTTATCGCACAACTATTGTTCGAGAAAAATGTACAAATGAGTGATAAATAAGGTACATCCGCTTATTCTAATATGATTTACACATGAAGTTAACACTTTTTTTTTAACAAGTTACACAAATACAACACCACTTAAGACTTTCAGTTAATAAAATTTAATTTTCAAACTATCAAGACTCCTAAGTTTTGTCTTAATAATTCAGTTTGGCACTAATCACCTCCTAGTCTCATGGCCTTCAAAAATTATGAATTATTTACATTATGCAGAAAAAAGGAATCAAATGTTAAAACACAAGCAAGAAGAAACACTAATGTATTGTACTAAAGTACATTTAATATCATAGAATGGAAATTTCCGCACATATTTGTGCAAGTTCACCTGTAGTTATGACCCGATTCACGCGGGGATAATTTAAAAAAAAAAAAAAGACTAAAAAAATTGCGCTACCTTACACCGTGGTTTGGCTCATATACTATATTTCTTCATGCGAATCTTGTTAAGTTACACATCATAATATGCAGTCTTCCCTGCCACCAATTCATCAAAGAACAAAAAAAAAATGAAAATTGAAATAATAAATATTGCAGAAGAGATGCATTCATATGGATCCTGTCCGTGCTGAGGCTACCGACTAGTGCCACAACTGTGATTCCAGGAGTGTACATGTGTGAATTAGGTAAAGGCCATGTGCATTCATCGACTGTTTCAGCAAAGTAATATTATTTTCTTTCAAGTTTTTGCATTTGTGGAAAGCAACACTATGCAAGAAAAATTCGGAAAACTGGAAATCACTACTTGTCATGATAAAGAGCGTGAAACAATAATGAAGCAAACAGTATAATGAATAATCATATAACACATGCCTTAGAATTTAGAGAACTACAAAATGAAGAAATGAAAACATTTTCCTGCAGGTTCAGCCTAGTTTTGAAAAAAAAAAAAATCACTTGTGTATAAAAAATATAAATAAAAGCATACATAATACCTCTCGTGAATTTTGTATTAGTAACCAAATACTTTGTCCTAAAAGTTGCATTGTGTGCAAGAGAGAAATTGTCGGGTGTTCTCTCTAATTTTACATTAAACCTACCTTACGTGTAGTTTCATTAACAAATCCATCACAAAATGATCAACATTAGTATGAAGGCCAGGGTTGTTTACCCGCGGACACCTTGGACGCCATCAATGTAGTCGTCGATATTAAGTTTATGATCTGATCAAAGAACCTGCAAAATGATGGCTGTGACAACAAAAGATTTCAGGTTTCGATAATTTGAAGCAAAATGGTAAAATTCGACGATGATTGACACAGACATACACATCAGCTTCTGCAGGAGCTGGAGACTTGGAAGCACCTCGGTCACCGTAAAGCCCTGCAGCAATAAATATCAGAATTATATTTTCATAAGAAGTTCAAACTCATGAATAAACTTAAGATAAGTAGAAGAGTTGTGTTTATTCGTAAAGTGCAGTTCTACATCTGGCTATATTTTTGTTGCATAGACATGATTAAAGCACCACCACTCTGTTAAGACAGCAATGAACCAAATTTTTTGCGTTTTGAAATTCAATACCCTCTACCAAAATTTTTCTGAAGAAGAAGAAATGAACCACAAACAAGAGGAGCCTTAATAT